CTGCAAAATTTGAGTGAGAATTTTACCCATGTGATTCTCTTTAATAAAAAGTAAATCAAGAATTACGTGGTTATAGTTGACATCTATGTGAAAGTATCAATTTTCAAATTTACAGCCTATAATAGGATACTCACAGAAAAGCCTGATAACAAAGACCATCGGCCAAAGGCTTCCTGAGTATTATATGAATTTCTGAAAGGTAGAGTGATTTGCTACAAGCAAGAATTGCTTTGAATGCATTTTCTAGCCAAGGCTTTTGATACCTTGCAGTGTACTAGTTGCAAGATAATCTGATCACAAAATAAGAAATTTGATCATTGTAATTCCAACTCATGTCAATAGGAAATAATAAATACTCTTTATTCTGAAGGTTTGCTAAGTGACTTACTATTTATCTAAATACAGATGGTTTTGCATGAACACTGGAGACTAAATGAAACACTCTTTGCTTCCTAATGAACCAGGCAGATATGAAACATAGGCAATGACTGACCACAACAGAAGATATCTCTGAAATTATTCATGCTTCCAGCAGAAGTAGGAATTCTTATGGGGAGATGGAGGAAGGAGAAGGGATAGAATCCTCTTCAAATTGTCTTTAGGAAGGATGACTATCCAGCCTGGCTTGCCCAACTATGAAGCTCTTTGTATTGGAAAACTTTCTTAAACTAATTTAAATATCAGTACAGGAGGCTTAACTGAGCAAAAACAATAAGGCATTTTACCATGGAACTGTTATATAATTAATGTAAAGAAGCATTGTATCAAGATAAATGAATATAGAAAATAAAGATTTGGTTTTCAAGAAATACACTTTGTTCTAGTTCTGATTTCACATAAAAGAAAACATGAGAAAGCACACTGAATATAATTGAATCCAGAATATTTGTAGAAATAAAATAACCAAATATATTCAGTTTATTTATGTGTGTGTGTGTACAAGATATGGTTTAATGATTCTGTAGTCTTTTTTAATTTTTATTTTGAGAATTTTCTAGAAAAATCTATATATGTTTTAAGTGCTTAATTTTACCTCTTTATCTTATACATAGTTTTCCTGATTTTTAAAATTTAAAGCCCAGTTCAATGAAGATCTACATTAAAAATTTAGTGAAAGCCCCAAGCCAAAATTATCTTCTTTTGCAGGTAATTCAGATGGATCTTTCTTGACATAAATTGTCAAGATTTACAGTACTATCTATTCAATTCTTCTTGGTTTTATTGATGACACCCAGGAGATTAAAGTACCTTTTCCATGCTGTAGAAACCAGTAAAACAGCCAAACATAAAAACCAAGCATGCTGGGATAATACTATTTAATTATGAAATAGCTACTGAGTCATCTTCATCCTCTTGAACACTAGTACAACCCAGAAAGACTCAGTAAAGCCCAGTATTCTGGAGTATAGGAAAAATTGCATTTGACATTTTGATTATGAAAGTATATTGTAAAGTTTAATGCAAATAACACTTGACCGTGGGTCCTTGCCTTGGACTATATTTTTCTCAAAAGCAAAATTTTTGGCTGGTGTGTCAGAGGCAGGTTCCTCCATCTTGATGGGATGAGACCCCTGACTTTATACGGTAATGGAAGAGTGTATTGTTCAATATCAATTTAAAAATAACATTAACCAATGTGGAAAAGAAATTGGCAAGAAAGCCTATTGACCATTAGCCAAACTGGAGATGGGATGTATCCTTATTTTTCTCTATTTGCTGCCCCACTTCCACGTCACTGCTCCCACCCCCCAGCTGCCATACTGTCTCCACCATCATCTTATCTACTCTTTGCCCTAGGAAGGTGACTCTCATGGCCAGTTTGAGTTTGGTGAATGGGAGGCACATTCGGGCTATTGAAGTGCAAGGAGAGAGAAATGTGGGGTGTTTACCTGCATACTCCCCTCTCCTTCAGCACCACATTTCTGACAGTGGCTGAATATCTCCCCAACTGCAGCTCACAACAGACAGCCCCTCTGTTATGGCTCCAGCTCTCACCAGTTACAGTAATTCTATTTCCATCACACCCCTACCTCACACTTCACTCCATCTCTTCAGGCCCCGGGATAATGATAGCCCTCTGTAGTGGCTAATCCTGGGTGTACCAGCTTCCCTTGCTGGTTCTCCTAATCTACCTACGCCCTTCATTAAAGTCTCTTCACTTAATTTATCTGATTCAAATATTTGCGGGGGTGGGGCTTGGATCTTGACTGATACAGGGTTTTTAAGTCTCTGATTTGGGAACACGTAGGAAAGAACAAGGTGAGCATTAGGAGTCGGCATGAGTGGGTTGTTTAGTCAAGCAAGTTAGTATCTCTTTGTACAGTCATCCCCAATGAATGAGTGTTTATGAAAGACTATATCTCAGTGTTATATCCTTTCTCTTCTTCTGATCAATTATTTTTATCAGGAAATTCTATGAAGCCATCATGGAAGATGTTATTTTCAAATTTTATTTGATGCACAATTTGGAGATATAGGTAATTCATTGAATAATAGCATCAAGATTCCAAGAGGTCTCAATGATCTGGAATCCTGGGTATATAGAATTGGAGTTTTATTGAAACCGCACACAAATCACAATGTGCATGTATGAATGTACATACACTGAGTGATTTGCTTTGATCCTAAATTCAGTGTGAGGCAACATTGTGATTTGGCTGTTTAGAAATATTCATTACATTTTAGATATCATTAAAAGAAGTCAAAGGCCAACTGTACTCTGCACCAGTCAGACCACATCTGGAGACATGCTTTCTGTTCGGGGCACTACCATGAACAGGTAAATAAATGGGAGAGCTATATGGCAAATGGGTCCAAGCACAAGGTTCTGAGTGCTGGATTTCAGTGACCTGGATTTTACTCTTAGCTCCTTCACTCACTAGCTGTGAAATTTGGGCCAGCTGCATATCTCTTGTTCCTCATCTCTGAAGTGGGGATCCTATGACCTTGAAAGTATTCATTGAGAGAATGTACATAAAGTGGTGCCCAGTACATTCCAAATACTCTCCAAACAATACCTAGAAGACTACTAATCATTACTAGGGTGTGACTAGTCTGGAAACTAAGTTACATCAGTAACAATCCAGGGAACTGGGAACAATTTAGTTCGTGTGAGAGAAGATATGCTGAGGAATAGGGTAGGCTTCTTTAGAAATGTGAAAGATTGTCCAGTAGGAAAGAGAATTGCCCTAGGAAGTCAGAAGGAGACATTCAGCAGAAATTACAGGGAAATATAATTTGGCCCAATATCAGAAATACCTTTCTATTCTCTAGATCTGTCCAACAAGGAAACAGGGTGATGAACGACGTCTTTTTGAGTCAACAAAAGCTGAATAATCACCATGTGGAATATGATTTTAGCAGGAACTCCCACAATACGGGTTGGAGTGGGGGAGGGCCGGGACAGAGGGAAAAGGTGACAAAATGACCTTTAATTTCCCTTTGGGACTCTACAGTTTTGGACTCTGTGTGTTTGTTGGACAGAATATCAGGAAAATGCATGCAACCTTTGTTTGTATTCACGTTGCCCTCTTTCAAATCAACCCTTGGCAGTAGCCCTGAGACATGTTGTCCCAACTTGGTATTGACAATCCCCCTATATTTCCTGTTCAGATGGTTTTGCCTGCCAGAGACTCTTTAGGTGGCACACAATGGCTTCTGTGTCGCCAGCTTTGCAGACTTCTTTAAGAAACTGTTTTTTGGGGATAAAAGCTTCCTAACTGGACCAAATCCCTTTTAAAAGGATTCCTTTTCTTGACCAAAATGAAAAATCTATTGAGCAGGGGAGAAACCTCGCAGTGTTTGTTTTCCTTTTGGCCCTGCCAGGTGTTTCTCTCTAATTGAACAGACTCTGGAAACCTTAAGCGCACATCAGTCTTCCTCCTATTTCTGTTTGCACCACTAGTAGTTGATAATTGTAGTTTTTCAAAGATACTCAGTACCTGCCACGTTTTTGGTGGAAGCAGAGCCGTTGTGTGGAAAAGTGGCTGATGTATTTCTAAGTAAATCTGTAGATGTGTTATGTTTAGAAGGCAGCGAAAGAAGCCTGAGCTGGCAGAATAATTGCTGTGTTAGGGCGCCGCTGAAGACAAATAGTGTGCCCAAGACTGTGAAAACCCTGTCTTATAAAACTTGTTTCAACATCAGGGCTCCTGCTGGGACAGAAATAGCAATGCCTACCATTTCTGAGCAAATTTGGAGAAAATGTCAATGTCATATCTCAAGGATAATTCGTTTTTGAAAAATGAGTGTCCTTTCTACTGACTATTTCTTTTTTGGCAGGATGTTTTTGGCTTTTCCAACTATGCTTTCCTCCCCTGTCTGGATTTTAGCTGTTTGTATGAGTGGTGATGACAACGAAGTACAGAAATGGATCTCACACAAATCAGTTTCAATTTTTTAAGGTCAACAGGTGGCTTATAGTTAAGAAACGAAATTGCATCTGCTGAAAAGCATGGCACAGGCAATTGAATGGGATGAACTTGGAGGTCCCTTCCAGTCCTGATGTTTTCTGATTCCATGAGCACAGCAACTACCAGTGAATGTGACATTTCATAACTCATCAATTGGCTATTTCAAATGCCAGCTAAAGCGAGAATGGGAATAGAATATTCTTAATGAAAATTCAGTGAAAAGACTAACAGAAATTGGATATATTTCTTTGGTTTGGAGAGCATTGCTGGCAAAGAAAAAGATATTTAGAAATATTTATTTAGAAAAATGAAAATAATTTATTTTGATTGAATCCTTACTAATTGCCAGGTCCTGTATCAGGCATTTTATATGCATAGGGATTCTATTATTATCACCACTTTATGGATGAGGAAACTGAGGGTTATAGATAATCTAAAGTAGTGTCATGAAGCTGACGCCAGGCGAACACTCTCTCAGCTACTATATCATGCTGCTTCTCTATAACAGACACTAGTGATTCACCATGTGGGGCATCCCCTTGGCCCACTGGATTTCAGACCAACTGTCATAGATGGTTCATTGCATATTGCCAGCACCTCACTTCAAGTGCATGTGGGAGAGAAATTGGAAGACCCCTCAGTAAGCAAGTGCAACATGAAATACAGGGGAGTTAACATTGTCAAGGGACAGCCCTCAACCTATGGAATAATAGGGGGTAGTTTCTGAGTAAACGCACAGCCTCTCTGTCCCCCAGGAGAATAGTTCTGAGGCACAGTTTCTCAGAGTGCCTCCAGCAGGACTGAGCCCACACTCAATGCAAAGTAGTAACAAACTCATTCCTGTATCCTTTATTAATGACTCTTCCCTCCCTATCTCATTTTCCACACTTCTCTTTTCTGCTTCTGGGATCACCTCCCAAATACACTTCTTGAACTGATGTCCTTGTCTAAGGTGCTGTCTTGGGGGGAAGCCAAACTAAGACAGTCCCTAAGAATATGTAACTATTCTATTTGTTACAGGCATAATCTCACTAATGGACTACAATGTCCATTGCTCTATGGGGTTGACTATCACAAAACCTAAGTTTATTGGGGAATATTTCTGTGGCATCAAATCTCTAATTGTGTAATGGAAGTTAATGATAATATATTGAATTTTTTTCTTTGGAATTCAGTTATTCAACAAAATAAAATAGAATCTTCACCACACATTAGCCTGACTCCTTTGAAGTCTTCAAAAAACCTAATGATTTAGCATGAATATTTCAAGATCATTTTTCCTAGGCTTCCTCCCAGCCCACTCCCGGAAGTGTCTGCTATTAATTTCCTTTGTGGTCTTAGATGAGTCAGAGATTGTAGATGAAATGATTGTGTTCTCATTCCTTTTGAAAAATTTCACGCCAAATCTCCTTCCATCTACTCCTAACCTAATATTTATCTCTGATGGATTAAAACAGCTACATCAATTTGGGGAAGAGTTTTATTGAATGCAGTGAACAAAGTCATCACATACATTTTTCTTTCACTTTCTTGTCAATCTCTGAAATTAATGGACAGGAAGAAGCACCCATTAGTTGGGACCATTCTTAGGTGGTGTTTTATTTGTGAGAACAGTGCATTTGGTGGAGTAACAGACTTGCCCAGAGTTGTCATGTCAGAATTCTACCAATGTACTACTGTTTTCTTTTTTGTCTCTGCTTTCTTCAGTCTCTGCTTCTCAAACATCTGGGTGGCTTTGCTTCATGCCTCAAGCACAGTACTGGAGTATGTATACCTTTTTTCCTCAGCGTTATAGAAAGCAAGATCTCTTCTTAAGGATTGTTTTTAGTGGAGCATCCACCAGAGCTTCCACACTTTGTACCAACAACCAACCTACCTGGAGGATTTTATCTGAGGAATTGTACCATCCTGCATTCATGACATATGACCAACTCAATAAATTGGGCTAAAAGTAAGAACTGGTTCCTGGAAGCTAATGCTACCTTGGACAGTTAACAAAAATTTTGTGAAAGGACTGTGGTGTTAGAACAAACACCAACTAGTAGATGTCTCCACACTAGACCTCATCACCTTGCTGCTAAGTTGTAAAGAGTGGGCTTGTACCTGATGAAAACATTTGGCAAATTTGTATGCAATGCCAGTGGCAGATACTCACCAAATGGCAAGAAAAGATAAGATTCTCACTGCTGCCGTGCTCGAGAACTATATCAGTGGTGGGATGAATGCTAAATCTTTACAGTAATATAGAAACTGTATCCTTCTTTCTATATATATATATATTCTTGTTTCTATATGAAAACATCAGTGATACATTTTTCATTTTTGAAACACATGGTGTTCGTTCATCGATTCTGTATTCAGCTATGCTTATATATGTCCCTGTCATAAAATTATTCTCCTATTAAAAATTCACTGTATCCTTGTGATAAGAAATAAAAGAATTAGCTTAAAGAAAAAAACCTGGCAATTTGTATTTGGATAAAGATTTTAAATGGACTTGTTTATTTCTGACTCATCATGTGAACCCCTGTCAGCTTGCCTTCTTTAAAAAAGCATTTTAAAATTATTTTTTATGAGTAATTGCTTTCCTTTCTTTCTCCCTCCCTCCTGCTCTCCTCCTCTTACTCTCCCTCGCTTTCATTTGCCTCCATTTCCTTCTCCTCCCCTTCCTTTCTTCCTGTCTTCTTTCTTTCTTCCTTTTTTCCTGTCTTCCTTCCTGCCTGCCTTCCTCCCTCCCTCCATCCCCTCCTTCCTTCGCTTCTTTCCTCCCTCCCTCCTCTCCTTCCTTCGTTCATCTTCCTTGCTCCTTCTTAGCCTCTCTCTCCCCCTCCCTCCTTCCCTTTCTTTTTTCTTTCCTTCTTTCCTTCTTTCTTTCATTCATCTAAAAATCTTGTAATATAGGTGTTTGAGGAAATTATTTTAGTTTTGATATCCACTGCAAGGTTCTCCTGGAATTCCAGGCCTGGAATTCTGTCCTATTTTTAAAATTACTACCAACTCTAATAAGAGATCTACTAGGAAAATGTGAAATAATTTCAAATGTGAGTAATTCGTTAAATGGTAATATTCATGAAACAACTGTACTTCAGATGGTTCTCAATTTGCAAAACATCATTCTCTTTTAATTTTTAACTCTCTGACCTGATGCCTCTGCTAGGAAATAAAGACTTTTTGGTAGAGAGAGATTATTCTTTTTTTTCCTCTTCTGTTTTTATTTTTACTTCATCTGTTAGCCTTTTTGCCAAAGTCAGAAGTTCAAGAGGAAAGTGAACAGGGCACTCCCGGGAGTTTGTTAGCCATGTGACAGCATATGCTAAAATGACTTAAGGTAATGCAACATGGTCTACTGGAAAAACACTGAGATTTTAGGGAGAAGAATTAGATTCCTGTTCCAGCTCTGCCCTTAGTTGATTGCCTTGGGCAGCATCAGTATCCTCATTTGGAAATTGAAGTTCACTTTCCAAACATTTGTTGTGCTCCTCTAAAGTGCTAAGAACATGTTGGCATGCTGGAGATTTAAGATGACTAACATATAAGTGGTGTCTTTGAGACATATAGAAGAGAGGGTGAGCTAAAATGAATAATGGTTTGTGTGCTAGAATAGAGCCAGGTTTTACAGTGGGAGGCTTTATTAATACTGCTCAGTGAACCCTGGAAAAGAAGCATTTGTTTCTGTCCAAAGAGACTGGAGGCTGAAAAAGCCAAAGAGAAAAATGATATTTGATTTGGATTTTGAAGGATGAATAGGATTATAACAGACGAATACATTGGAGGAAAGATGTTCTGGTAGGTACAGCATGAGTTAAATAACTGTAGAACTTACGGAGGGCCTGTGAGTGGTGTCTGAGATGGAAAGTTTGTTGGCATAATGGTCATCTGTCATCGGCAACACCATGTTTGCTTGCCCCATTAAATGTCCCTGAGTACACCAGCTGTCATGGACACCAGAATCCCAGCCATGAGAATTTTCCTCTGTTCATTTCAAACCTGGGCACAAATCCACTCACCTTGAACCCTGCTAGACTTTGCATCCTGGTTTCTTTTATCTACTTGTTTGTGAGTGCGAAAACCCAACTTGGAGTGGTACCTCTGTTTCTGGCACAGCATCCTTCCTAGGGTGCTCCATCCTATAGCTACCCTTCCACTCCAGTCCTTGAGCAGGAAGCCCCCTGCCTCTGAGTCCCAGTGTTCCCCTCACCAAGCCAACAGAGAGCCCTGTAGGTTCTGATGGAAGCTGAACAATGCAATAGCTCCTGTAGCCACCTGACGGGGCTGTTGTGCAGAATAGTGATGATGATATACGGAACAAGTGTTCACTTTGGAGGTAAACAAACTTGGATTTAAAACCCGGTTCTGACTGAGGGAGCCAAGGCAAATTATTTAACTTCTCTGGGCCTCAGTTTTCTCATTTGTATGATGGGGCCAATAGTACCTACTTGGTAGACTTGCTCTGAGATTTTTCATTCAACAAATATGAACACTTGCTATGTGCAGATTACTGCTCTAGGGCCTGGAGATATAGCAGAGAACAAAGTCCCTGCCTGCTGGGATTCAGACAGGAAACAAGGAATTAACTACATAATGTAATATCAGGTAGAGATTGGAGGCTGGAAAAAGAATAACAAAAGGTAAAGGGAGAGAGAGAGAGACACAGAGTGAGGGTAGCAATATTGCAGGGGGTGGTCAGGGAAGACCTCATACCTGCGTGAAGGGAAGGGATAAACCATGCAGAAATCTGGAAGGAGAGCAAAGACTCTGTTGTGGAGTGAATTGTACCCCCTCCCCCCCACCAAATTCATATGTTGAAGCTCTAACCTCCAATGTGACTGTATTTAGTGATAGGGCCTTTAAGGAGGTAATTAATATTGTATAAGGTCAGAAGAGTGGGACTCCAATCTGAAGGACTGGTGTCCTTTTAAGAAAAGGAAGAGACACCAGAGATCTCTCTCTATCTCTCTGCACACACACAAAGGAAAGGCCATGTGAGGATGCAGTGCGAAAGTGGCCATCTACAAGCCAGGAAGAGAGGTCTCACCAGAAACCAACCCCGGAGGCACCTTGACCTTGGGCTTCCAGTCTCCAGAACTGTGAGAAAATAAATGTCTGTTGTTTAAGCCACTCAGACTGTGATACTTTGTTATGGCAGCCCAAGCTGACTAATACAGGCTCTGAGGCTGAAATTACTTTGGAAAGTGGCTGCAGCAGAGTAAGTGGTGGGAGAGAGTGTTGGGAAATTAGGTGGAGAAGTAGTCAGGATCCAGGACACCTTTGCCACGATGAAGAGTCAGGATTTTATGCCAAAGGTGATGGATGTTTTTGGAAGATATGCTTCAAGAAGTGAAAGGATATGACACATGTTTTGAAAAGATCAATCTGGCTGCTGTGTGGAGAATTGACTCTGAGCCCAAGGAACGCATGCCTTGGGGAGATCAGGTAGGTGGACAAGGGTGTGAACCTACAGTAGAGATGGTGAGAATTTGTTGGAATGAATTTTGGAGATGGAGCTGACAGAATTTGGTGATGGATTGGATATGAAGTGGGAAGAAACAAGTCAGGATGACTCACAGGTTATTGGACTGAGCAACTGGGTGAGTGATGGTG